TCTCAGAAGAGTGGGCTTGTTTTTTCCTTTGAGACATGGGGAGCAGTTTGGTCTCATTTTTAACTCCATAATCTCAGAAAAGTCCTTTTTCTTATAGGAAGGGATCACAGATTTTGAATAGTTTCCATCTCTGACTTCCTGTGTGTGTTGTGTACCCTTGAGTGAGGCCCACCTGGCCAGGCCTCCTGGAGGGTTCAGGCGTGACTTAGCTGACGAAGGTGCACAGCCTCCCTTAGGTCGTATGCTGATCACCACAGAACCGCAGGCGAGGGACTGAGCCACTGTGACCAGTGCTTTCCAGTCTTGGTGCACAGACGGAGCAGCCTATGGCTTCTGCTGTCTGTTCCACTCGCTTGCACATTTATTTCAGCAGGTGCTCAGAGGTTAAACATTCCAACCCCTTAGCTTGAGGATGGTCCTAAAGAGAGGGGATCAGGCTTTCCTGCTGGAACTGAGCAGGAGTGACAGACTGAGGTGCCTTTTTTTTAAAATCACAGACAAGTAGGGAGACTGCATCCTTCTTTTTGGTTCCAATGTGAGCCACTCAGCAGGGAGCCAAGAATGCTCCTCTAGGCCTCCCAGGGGACTTGAGAAATTCTGAAGGCATGCCTTCCCCTCAGGACCTGGAGAGGTCATTGCTTCATTCACGAGGATCAGGGCCAGTGACCAAAGAGGTCAGCACAGTCAGTTTTCCCAGACATAACAGCAAACAGAAACATCAAAATGACACCCAGGATCTGGAGGCGGATTTATTCGTTGATGGGCACTGATCATCATTCCCAAAATTCCAGGCCCTGAAGGCTCAGGGAAGGTTTTCATGAGGTCTGTGAGGGGAACACAAAGGCAGAGTACTTGGCTACCTCTGACTGGGTCTCACAATATGCATCACAGTGAGCAACTATGCATCACTACAGTGACCAGCTATTTGTAGGAGACAGTAGTAACAGGCACTGTGACAGGAACAACTGCCTGGGCAACAGCTGCCCAGCTGGCTGCTACCCAGAAAACGCAGACATTCTCCTGCTCACGTTCTATGTCCAGCCAAAGACCCTAAGTGCAGGTAAAGCTCAACTTCCCTACACTCTTTTGCAACTTTCACGATTTTCCCCACCTTAGGCGGAGGGGTGAGTGCCTCGTCAGAAGCATGTTCAGCATGTGTTACCCAGTGCTAACACAGCCCTAGCCTCACAGCCAGCCATTAATTGGGACAGAGGTAGTGACAGCAATCTGAGGGCTGCTATGCAGGGACAGCAGTGGATCCACAAAAGGCTCCTCTCTGCTAGTCGTGTGCTGCAGCTGTGACCAGGAGGGAACCGGAAATTCTCTTACCTGCTGGCACAATTAGCTTTCACTATTTTTTTTTTTGTGCTGCTGGGGATTGAACTCAGGGCCTTGTGCCTACAAGGCAAGAGCTCTACCATTGAGCCACACCCACAGCTCCCACTTTTACCTCAAATTTTTTTAATGTAAAGACATCTTTCAAATTACAGCAGAAAGCAAGGGGAGCCATTTGTTGTAGACATTTATTTCACACATAAGTTTTCAAGAAGACAGCTAAGTAAACATTAACACAGAACAATGAGACAACCATTTGTACTAGGTCTTGGAATGCCTTCAGACAGGCAAGGGCTCAAGTTAGACAGGTTGTTCAGCACTCCTTTCACTCAGGCTCCCCAGCTCCCTTACTGCTCACACTCACTGAGCACACGATTTCATAAAACTTTCTTCACTTCCGCTTGCTTTCGCCCATCAGCGTGCCTAGGTAGCTGCCTGCTGTTGACCCCAAGTGACCTGTACTTTCTCCTTGGTGAGCAACTCCTTGCTGGCCTCAGGGTTACACCTTCGCTCCCCCAAATATGAAGCAGATCAAGTGAGACCCAGAGGTGCCATGCGGTGGGGAGCTAGGCCGCAGCCTGTCCTCACCACCTCAGCCTGGCTCCACAGCCTCTTGAGTGGAAGCACCTGAGCAATGCTGGCAGTCAAGTTCAACTTCTCAAAGAGAGGCTGTGATCTGTCAAGCAATACTTAGTAAGTGGTAGTCACAAGACTAAAACTTTTTTTTTTGGCTTCTGACTTAACACTCATTCCAGTGACAGGCTGCCCTAAGCTGTTCAGGTATGTGTGAAGTTTTTCTCTTTATAAAAAAAAACTGTTTCCTTCCAGATGAATTAGGTTAACTGTTCAATAATCAGTGATAATTAGAGATATCTGTGGAAATCAATACAAACCTATGGAGGAAATACGAACTCAGTTTCTAAAATGCCTCAGATGTCAGAGAATCAAATGCTTGTTTATACCGCTTCTAAAACACAAGATTTGAGGCAATCTCGAAGAAGTAGAGCAGATCTAAGTAATTTCAGGGTAGGAATTGGCTGAGGTGGACTTCGGTTGGGCTTTGTAGCAGCCAGAACAAAGGGCAAGCAGTACCTTATAAATCACAGTGTTTGTAAGATAAAAACTTTTTTGGCTAAGAATCAAAGCAGTACTGAGATCTAGGGAAAAAACAACAACAACAGATTTGCCTATCGATCTTCACAAAAGCAATGCTGTGTGGTCCGACAGATAAACTCCTTAGAATTGTGATGATTCACTTTAACTTTCATGCCTGAGCTTGAGAGAAAATGCAGGAGACAGTAAACTTGGTCTGCCCTGGTGGACGAGATCTACTTAGTCCAGACAGAGACAGATTCACTGAAGCAGCCAGCAGCCTGCTTAGGGTCGGGGTGTGCGGCGGGGATGGGACTTCCACCTTAGCTGGATTCCAGACACGAGAACGTCCCACTGCAGACAAGCAAGGCCTTGAGCCTTCCTGCCACTGGGGGAGCGTGAGGACAGTGGAACCAAGTATGACTTCAGGTTTGGACTTTGGAGAACTGTTCAGGAAGTGAAGGTGACTTCTTCATGACTGACCTCATGCAACTGACGTGGATGTAATGGGCATTATTTTTTGCCTTGCACATCCTTGATCATGTTGTAACTTCCTTAAGTACAGGCATGAGGCCCCCTTTTATAATTTTTTGCATATCCCACCACCGCCAGAACATGGTCTTACATAAAATAGTGCTTATTAATTATTTATGAATATATTATCTACTTTCCTGAATCATGCTTCCATATAATTATCAATCCTGTGTACACAGTTACTAAGTGGTGATTTGTATTAATGTGCATCTTCTCTAGAGTTGGAATTCCAGAACACCTACACAATATAAGCACAAGCCCACTGGCACCACACACTTTTTGCTGTGCTAGGCACAATACCAACATGACACTGCATGTACTATTAGAGTCCATAATTCAGACAACACAGAGATCAACTATGTTGATGTTAACAATCAGAACATTTCCAATAAATGCAAAATGGAAACATTCATCAGCGTTTACCTGAGTCACCTGTCTCCCAACAGGCCACATCCTATTCTGGCAACATAAGTAGGATTTCTCTTGACAGTGCTTATTCTCCTTGGTACTCTGCTGAACAGCTTTCAAAAGATTCAAATTTACTTGAAGAAAAAAATACTAACCCTTAGTGCCTTCAAATGAGGCTGCATTTGACAAAGAAGGGAGAGATTAAAAACAAAAGAATAATCTGTGTATAGTCCTGACTCTGGTTATATTTTAGACTTGTGACTCCTCCCACCCCAGAGCAAAGCCGCTGTAGGTTAGCTGTGTATGAGGGTCTAAGTGCCACTGGCCCACCCTGAAGCAACTGGCTCCGAAAGAGCAGATCCCTGGGTTTCATCTGTAATTCCATACATGAGCTAACTGTTCCCCCATCTAACCTACTCTATCCATATTTACTAGGGTGGTGCTGGGGGTTATCAAAGAGATTTTCCAGACAAACCTAAATCAGGAAAGCAAAAATGGCACTCTGGATTGGAAGTTTCTGTAAATATGTCCACTTTCACTTAGCGAGCTGTAGAGTTGTACAATTATTCAGGGATATACAGTTAGGCTTCTGAGCCTATGAACAAGGAAGTGGATCCTCAGATGCGGAGACTGGCGCCGCTAACCACCGCACCTGAAAGTTTGCTTTGGACTGAGGCGATTAACACTCAGGAGGAGTCCACTCAACACTTCAGGTGTCTATCTCACTTCTTCCCTGTTCTCTTACAACTTCAGAAACACTATTATACTGAAGTGTGGGCCGGGAGGTATACAGCAGGCTACCACACAGTCACATTCTAGGTAAGAGCCAGAGAAGCTACAGAGTGGAATTAGAGTGTGCCGAAGCCCTACCTCATCTTAATGAGACACAAGCATGCATCCTAGTTAATCTGCAGATAGCATGGTAGTTCAGGAGAGTCTGACGAGAGCACCTGGAACAGTCAAGAGGTAAGTGTAAGCCTCACGAGAAGAGGAACAGCCTGGAATTACTTGGGGCTGCAAAGCTGCAGCACGGGAATGCAAGTCTTCAGGGACTGGGGGGATGACGGGTGGCCATCTGCTTCTCATTGTGGCAGACGGCAAGGGGCAGTGCCAGGACTTCATGGGCCACAAAGAGAAACTTCCCTGGCTATGTGGGTCAACAGGATGCTGCATCAGGTTTCTTAGGGAGGCTATCAAATCTTTACTCTCCTTTTGTCAGTATCTTCTATATTGAGGTGGATCAGATTCCTGAAAGTTCTACCAAAATGTGAAAATCTGTTACCAAGTTGCATCCAGGGTCTCCTGCAGTAGACAACAACAAAAATCCTTTTGGCATTTATTTCCATGAACACCTCTCAGCCACCTGAAAGGATCCTGAACGTTCCTGAACTCAGGAATCCAACAGCAGTGACCTCAACATGCTCAGAAGACCTTCGTCTGTCTTCCTCACTCTACTACGGAGAAGTGGAGCAGCAGAGAGGTGAGATGACCAAGGTAGAGGCAGAGGTAAGAACAGGATAAGTCTTATGTAATCTCAAATTTATCCTGGGAATTACACTTTAGTGCTAAGAGAAGACTACTTCTGAGTGAGGCTGGAGTAAGACAGCTGAGGGCGTTCATCATCCAAATGCCTTCCTGAAGTCATCAGTCTTCCCTCTCAGTGGGTTCTCTGGGGAATACACAGAGGTGGCAGGTGGCACAGGCTTTTCCCTCACATGAATTTCCCTGTGTTTGGCGAGAACAGAACTCTTACTGAAACGTTTGCCACAATGGGCACATCCATAGGGCTTCTCCCCAGTGTGGATCCGCCGGTGTTCTCGAAACCGTGTGCAGTTACTGAAGCTTTTCTCACAGTCCACACACTTGTAGGGATTCTCTCCAGTGTGGACTCTGCGGTGAGCGCTGAAATGAGAACTGTTGGTAAAGCTTTTCCCACACTCTCCACACTGGTAGGGCTTCTCACCAGTGTGGGTTCTCTGATGGATAATAAGACTAGAGCTTTGACTGAAGCATTTTCCACACTCCCCACATCTGTACGGCTTCTCTCCTGTGTGGATTCTCTGGTGGGCTCCGAAATTGGAGGAGTCATTAAAGCTTTTCCCACAGTCAAGACACTTGAAAGGCTTTTCCCCTGTGTGGATTCTTTGGTGTCTAATTAGGCTCCTGCTCCTGCCGAAGCACTTCCCGCAGACACTGCACTTATAAGGGTTCTCCTTCTGGTGGGTCAGCCGGCACATAAGACGAGCATTCCTTCCAAAGCTCTCCCCGTACTTGAGAAGTCTGTAGGGTCTCCTCCCCATGAAAGGCCTCTGATGTAGCACAGCCTTCCCCAGATCTCTAGGCTGGGGCATCAGCTTTCCCTGTCTAATGCCTTGGAAGTTTTCCCATTGTCTTCCTGAGATGCATTCCCTTTTGTGGTATCTGCTGGGATCACTGTTCTGGGAAACAACTCTCTTAGGTTTTTCTATTAATGCCCTATGTGGTTCTGCGTCCTTATATATTACCTGTGTTAGGTCTTCCTTGATGCTACTTCCAATTTCAAAATCTGAAAAAAAAAAAAAAACAAACATGCAAATTTAAAACAAGTTCTGTATTAACAGAAACAACCAGGTCTGCAATCTTTAGCATACTATGACACAAATTTCTTGGGCCTTGGGCCTTATGACACTTCTTCGAGATGCCTTATTTTCTTTCAATCACACTGGCACGCTGATGACCCTGACCACACTGAACAGCTTCACGTGCTTTCTGAACAGAGTTCCGCACCCCACCCTGACTAACCAGGAGTTCCGCACCCCACCCTGACTAACCAGGAGGCAACTCAACTCCCCGGAGCCGCACTCCTACTTCAGGAGTTCCCAGTCCCTGCAGCACAGAGCAACGCCAGTCTGTGGCCTGCAGGGACTCTGGCCACACAGGGGTGGGCAGCGGCGGATGAGCAGAGCTTCACGTGCCCTGACAACGGTGTCCAATGGCGTCCAGTACTGCCTGCGCACCTCCTCTCGTAAGACCAGCAGGGCCATGGACTCTCCCGGGAACCCGAGCCTTCCTGGGACCTGCATGTGGGAAGTGGGGGATCGGCTGTGCGCTTCCTGGAGAATGGATCACCCCAATCTTGCCCTTCACCACCTGGGGAATTTTTCCTTCCATGAAACCAGTCCCTGGTGCCAAGTAGTTGGGGAACACTGCTCTAATTCATGCTGTTTTCGTTACTTCACACCATGCCACACTACCCCAGTCTTTGCAGCAGATTCCAGTGCCCAGTTCCAAACTCCCAAAGCAATTTCTAACTTTATCAGTAGCTAATTATATCCTGCCAAGACCACTTTCTCTTGTCCTTTTTCTTTTTGGCTATCCTCTAGACCACACTAACTCAAATTTAGTCCTCACTGTTCCCAAAGTTGGAATTACTTTCTTTTTACCCTTTCAACCACAGCCACATTCACTAGATGGCACATCTTGGATCTAGCTTTGCTGTGAGGTTTCCTGGACAGACAGCACGACATGAAGAGACGCAGCTTTGGAGTCACACATCTCTGATCTGACTCCTTCCCGGTCATCTGTTAACTGTACTACTGCATTAACTTTTCATTATGAGACATGAAAAGTACAGAGCAGGAACAACGAACTTCTGTGAACCACTTCCTTCCTTCGACAGCGAGCCACTTATGGCCAATCCTCTTTCATCTCTACTCCCACGTGTTCTGCTCCCTGTACCTAACACCTGAAAGACACACATGGCTTCTAGAAGTATTTCCCAAGCCGAGAACTCAAGCTTTGTCCAGGTTTGTCACTCAAAGCTCTGTTCTCAAACATGTGTTAGGCTGCCTTGTTTCTACCTGCCAATTTCAATGCTGTCTTCCTCCTCTGCATTCATGTGAGACTGCTCATCATGCTCAAGGCCAAGTACGGCAGCGACAACGCGGGCAGGGAGAGATGGGCAAGAGAGATGGGCACTCATCAATCAATCCATCAACGTGAGTGAGGAGACCTACCCACCATATTTTTCATGTAGGAGTTCTTTCAGTTTTCTCCTTTGATCTGACATTATTCTGAGATTTGAAGGTGTTGCAGGCCAGCAGACAACTCAGACAAAGCCTGATACTCTGACAACAGATCTGAAGGTCATCCTCAGAACAAGATTTACAAGAATTTTGTCTCCAGAATTGTTGAAATCAAAGTTACACAGGAATTATCCTGTGCACTTTCCCACACAAATACTGCTAGGGATATATATGACACTCTTCCCTACTGTATGTAGACGTCACTTTCTCTTGGCTGGGCCTCAAGTCTCCAATCAATTCAGGCAATACCGAGTTACCTGCTTTCAGAAATCAGCCCTGCACTGCCTCATGCCTTGTTCTGTCTCCTGGATCTGCAGAAAGGCAGCACTCTCATCCTTCAGACGCTCTCATTACTGGGAGGTCTGGGACACGTAGGGCATCTTGTGCCATGACAGAGGCGTCTGTGGAGCTGAGGAAGAATGTGGACACGGAGATACAAAGAGCCAAGCTCACGTCAGGCAGAGGGAACAGCAGGAAGTGATGTGGAAGATGAGGGAGTGTGGAGGGAAGAGGGACTAGTTTTGAAAAAGCACACACATGGAAAGAAAATATAAATACATAAGGTAGAAGCAAAAGACGGGTACAGATCAAGAATGACTGTGGGACCGTAATACAAGTGTGCATGAGGATATCTAATTTGGAGATCTTACAACTGTCTAGGCAAGAAACAGCAACACTCAATGGGGGTCGTGGCTATGGCAACCAAAGAGAAGGCAGACAGACGCAACACTGCGATGCAGTCTTCTAAAAATGTGCCACCTGCCTGGAGGTAAGTGATGAATGAGAAGGTGCTGAAGCTGCCCCCAGAGACCTGAATCCAGATACGCGAAGGAGAGCACACGGAGAGCTGTGGTATGAGATGCACCATGGTGACTTTAGTTTTAAATACTGTTAAGTCTGAGCTACCGACAACACATGCCTATGAGGGCGTCCTGTGGCCAGCGGGAAATGGGCTGGTGGGGCTCAGGGCCAGAAGGCAGACTCTCACTTGCCTCTGCCTACCATTCCTTCATGAACATCCCACAGCTGCGAGATATGTCTGATTTGATGCTGTGCATCCTTCATCCCTATTCTTTTCTCCCACGTAATTCCCAGTTCTTCCACGAGGGATACAAGACACTGTCTGACCCACACAGACAAAAAGCGAGGCTGAGCTTCAAAGAGCTAGTGAGCAGAATCTGAGTGGGGCAGCGCTGCCACCTCAGAAGCCCCTGAGAGCAGGACCCGCTTCGTCCTACGATCCCTGCTCCTCAAACAGTACGTGCTGCTCAAGGACCTGCTGAGTGATTAAGATGCCCGAGCCATGAGCCAGAACTACAGCCTTCCCAGTAAGCACTCTTGCTCCTCTTTTAGACTGAAAACCCTTGATGAGCCTTACCGGCTGGGGTTTGCAGCAGACCTGGGGTCCCCTGGAACTCCTGCTCTCGCACAACTTCCTCTTCACTCATTCTTTCACTGCCGGAATCTTCTATTACTGCCTCCTGGGAGGTTCCCTCAGGTTCCCAGCCTGTGGATTCCTGGGATTCCACCTCCACAGGCCCTCTTTCTCGCCTTGAGGGAGCCAGGGCTTCTGGGCTGCTGGCGGAAGGGGCTGAGGCCTGAGAGTTAATGAGGGCATCCATCTCCCTGTAGAACGCGCAGGACTCCAGCACGTGGCCGTTCTTCACCTTGCGGTAGCTCTTCTGAAGGCTCTTGAACTTGGTGCGGCACTGTTCGGGCGTGCGGAGGAAGCCACACTCGCGAAGTTGCTCAGCCACGGCTCCATACAACTTGCTCTTCCGATGACAAGCTTGAAGAGCTTCGTAAAACCGAGTCTCGTGAAGGATATCCAGAAAAGTCTTGGTTTCTTCATAGCCCCAGTGCACGCCTGCCATTCAGGAAGAAAGATTAAAGATGTAAGAAACGCAGCGCGGAGCCCGTATGTGGTCCATGCTACCAAAAACAAGAGTAAAGATAATCACGTTAAGAGCCGGGAGACAGCTCTGTGGCACACACCTGCCTGGCAAGCATCAGGCCCCCTTAGTTTGATTTCTAGTACCAAAAAAAAATATTCTCATTCATGGTAGCACCAGGAAATATGATATATCTAGGAATAAACTTTGTAAGAAATGAGATCTGTATTATAAAATTAAAAAATATAAATAAACTAGAAAAAATGCAACATTGTATTTTTGGATAAGAAAAATACAGGTAATTTTTTTAAGCCAAGGTATAAAGTCGAAATTCCATCCAGATTTAAAGTGACCTTAAAGCATAGTCCCCAAAACCTGCCACAGCTGTGCCCTGGGGACGCACAGAAGCACCTCTTCTGGGGTGAGGACTAAAGGCCCGGAGCCCCGCCGGATCTGCCCCACCCCCAAGCGCTTACCACTTTTCCTGTCTTTGTTTCTCTGTTTTTTTTTTTTTTTTGAGGCAGATGCTCACTCTGTAATTCTGGCTGCCCTTGAGCTCACTGTGTGCCTCAGGCAGGCCTGGAACATGCAGGAATCTTTCTGCCTCAGCCTCCTGAGTGCTGCAATCATCGGTGGGCACCCCCGCCCCTGGCTTATCACTTCTGTAACAAGCTTTCCTAGAAGATCCGAGACACGTCCGGCATGGCTCAGGTCCTCAGGAGCATTCTGCTGCCGGGAGGTGACACGCTGCACCCAACCGATGCTTTCTCCTGAGAGCGCACATCTACGCGCCATTCGCGCACGCTACGTTTTGGAAAACTGTTTTCTATCTTCAGCCTGTATCGGGCAGTTTCTTCTAGTTTCTGCTATCACTGGCTTCCCACACTGATACCACCCTAGCCTTCCACCCTTGTGCTGATGCATTTTCAAGTTGGCAGGTATCTGCACATGCATAAGGAATCTGCCTACCTTTTTAGCAGAATTGTTTATTTTGAACTCTCAGACAGAGGGCTTGCCAGATAGCTCAGCTGTTTAAACCGCAGCTTGGGCAAATGCAGTCAGGTGCAGGGGACCGCAGTTCGATCCCCAGCTCCACAAGCTGCACTAGACGCACCCTTAAGGCAGCCTGAACTAGCAAACAAACAAAAAAAATCCAGCTGAACTCCCAGATTAAGTTTGATTTACCTCTCCATTGTTAGAATTTCTCATCTCAATATTAGACGACATCATATTTTAGCACTTTCAGAGTGCATTAATCTCTATATCCCACTGAACACTGAAATAAGCCAGGTAATTCCTCCCGGTCACACATAACAAGTGAGGGTGCTGACACCCAGGGCAGTTCGATGGTGCATTTTCTGCCATGCAGCTTAATTCTGTATGTTCATTCCCCAAATACTGAACACTAGCTTTCTTTTGCATGGTGTATATTTCTGTATTTTCAATTTTATTTTATCCCATGGTGCTGGGGAGTGAGTCCAGAGCCTGGCACTTACTAGGCAAGCGCTCTCCCCCGAGTTACATCCCAACCCTTATCTCAATCTTAGTACCTCTGTGTTCTTGTATTTAAGATGCATCCCTTGTAAGCAATGCATAGGATTAAAAAAAAAGCGACAATCTTAGTTCTATAAACTTATAGCTGGTGATATATCTGTACTGATATCTACCACGTTTTTCTATTTATCTATTTCGTGTTCGTTTCTCTTTCTTGTTTTCTTTTTACATTAAACAAAAATTTCTATTTTACTTTTACCATAGTAACTTTTTTTTTTTTTTTACTGTTATCTTAGGTGGTGTAGCAACACACCCTTAATTTGTAACAATCCAATACAACGGATTGCTTTATCCTAATTTTCAGATAATACGAGGTCCTTAGAACCTTCAGACTCCCTGCTTCTACCTGTAAAGTCACAAATACTTAAAATGCATGCTATGCTGACAGCCAGTCCTTCATGGATACCCCTGATGTTACTTAGTTGTGCTGGGGACATCAACACACACCTGGGAGCACCTCAGCTATGGGGTCGCACCCCAGCAAAAGCAGCAGGCTGGGGGTGACAGCACTCTCTTTTTTCACACTAGGAAAAAGAAACAGCACAACTCTTACCACTCAGGTTTTGAAATAAGACTGGGGCACCGTGAACCTCAGGCTCGTGGACAAAGCCCAGGCCCAGTTCGTCACCGTCAGAGTCCTCTGCAGCGTCCTCCTCCACCACGGCGACCTGCTCTCTGGCGCTGCCGCCGCTGCCGCCAGCCCTCTTCAGTCTGGGCAGAGGCGTCACCTCCTCGGGCCTGTCAGCAGGCGAAGCGTGGGCCGCAGGGTTCAGCAGAGCATCCATGTCCTCGAAGAAGGCGCAGGGCTCCAGCACGTGGCCGTTCCTCACCTTCCGGTAGCTTTTCTGGAGGCTTTTGAACTTGGTGCGGCACTGCTCCGGCGTGCGGAGGAAGCCACACTCGCGCAGCCACTCAGCCACGGCGCCGTAGACCTGGCTGTTCCGGGGACAAGCCTGAAGTGTTTCGTAGAAGCGGGACTCCTTGAGAATCGCGAGGAAAGTCTTGGTCTCCTCGTAGCTCCAGTGCACGCCTGCTATCTTCTCGTCTTCCACGCCCCAGCGCCGCTGCTGCTCTCGCCACGCCTTCCCAGCAGCCCTTGCGGGGCCCTGGCCGGCGCGGCCTGCGCGGCCCTGGGCGCAGGGGCTTCGCAGGACGTTTCTTTTACTCGAGGAGCGTGAGCCGACGGCCCACAGTCGGGCTGTCTTGTTAGATACAGACACGGTATTTCCTACAGCAAGAGAAACACATTTCACAGGAGACACACGTCACTACTGTGGACCGCAGGCTTCTGCGGCGACGCCCCCACAGGCCACTTGCTCCAGCCAGAGCCTGCCTCAGCCATGAATGCGCGCTGCGGCGTTCTCAGGACGTGTGGTACAGTTGCCTACACTGCTATGACTCTCCTTCTCATGTATGCGCCACTCCTTTTCTTGACTAGTTCTTAGAGTGGCACTTCCGAGGCTAAGCAGCGTATTTCATCACCTCCATTTCGCGCAATAGCTAACGCTGCGTGAGGCTCGGAGCCTGTTACCCAGCAGCGCTTGTTACTTATAGCTGTGCCTGCGTCTCCCCAACATCTCCTCCACGCTCACCGCCACGCACGCACGCACGCACGCACGCACGGGCACCATGACAGACAAGTAAGGGCTGTCACAGCCACACGGCAGGACCTGAAGAGCAGAGCAGGAATCCCCGAAGCAAGCCTGTCCACACACTGTCAACTAACTTCTCAAGGTAACAAGAATATGCCACTGGGGACAAATGGCCCGTTCAGTAAATGGCGCTGGGAAGGCAGAACGTCACTGCGAGCGAGTCAGACTGGACCCTGTTCTGCAGAACTTATAAAAATTAAGTTCAAATATATTAAAGACTGACATATAAAGCCAGAGGTGATGAAAATCCTAGAAAAAGCACAAGGAAAAAGCTCTTTGACTCTGGTCTTGGGCATTTTTATGATATCCAAAGCACAGGCAACAGAAGCAAAAATAAGTATAAGCACACTAAAGTAACGTGCTTCTGCCCAGAACAGGACGCAGTCAAGAGAGGAAGAGAACCTGCAGCGCGGGAGAAGGGATCTCAGGTCACGTATCACGTGAGGGGCTCCCATCTAAAGCACACCCAGAATCATAAAACGTGATAGAAATCCATCCATCCATCCATCCATCCATCCATCCATCCAGTACTTAAAATGGGCAAAGGACCCAATAAGACATCTTCCCAAAGGAGGAACACAAATGGTCAGCAGGTTCACGAGAGGTTTCAGCATCACTGAACAGCAGGGAAGAGCTACCAAACGGCACGAGGTGACCGCATCACACCTATCGGAGTCACTAAGAGCAGAAAGACAAGAGAAGGCCCGGAGAGGGCGGGTGTGCAGGGCAGCCCCGCGCCTCCCCGACTGCTGGTGCTGCGGTCGGTGCAGCCCTGACGGACACTGTGGAAGTGCCCCGAAGTACGGACACCGGAACTGCCACGTGACTCCGCACGCCGTGCCTGGCCTGCAGGACAGCGCGTCATATCTGCAGACGCCTGCGCCCTCGAGTTCACGGCAGCGTTGCTGGCAATGGCCGAGACGTAGAGACAACCCAAACGCCTGTCCATGGAAGGACACAGCGAACGAGAAAATAAAGAAAACATGTATGTATGTATGTATGTATGTAGCGATCAAGCAATCAAGTAGAGCGTTCTGCCATAAAAAGAAAGCAAGCCTGGAATTTGCAACCCTAGAGAATTATGCTGAGTGAAATAAACCAGGCGGAGAAAAATAAATACCATTTATAAGTAGAGTCTAAAAACGTGGAGCCTGGGCTAGAACTGTGGCTGCCGAGGGCCTTGGGGTAGAAACGGGAGACGCTGGCCAGCAGTAAGGGACTTTTCATTATAAGACAAGTTCTAGGGATCCCACGTACAGCACGGTGACCACAGTTAGTAGTATGGCACACTTGAAATGTTCTAAGACAGTAGATTTTGAGACAGAGTCTCACTAAGGTAATTGTGGTAATTATTTCACAACAAAATAATCAAGTGTATAATCAAGTTTTACATCTTAAGTACATACACTGTTGTCAATTATGTCTTTTTTTTTCAATTATGTCCTAATAGAGCTGGAAAAAAATTTTGGCCAATAAGCTTAATTTTCAAACAAAAGCTCAGGGGAACTCAAAATAGCAAAGAAATAAAGTGAAGCTGTTTTGCTTAAGGAAGTTACGGAGGGCGTACAGAAAAGTTTTACACTTAGCTTCATGGTATGAAACACATCAAAGATACTTTTTTTTTTTTTTCCAAGAGACTGAAATCCACTTTCTACTGCATGAAGGAGAAAAATAATCTATGATGACTGCATTATAAAATTATTGGTACAGATATATTTTCCATAAATATTTGTTGAAAACAAAATAGTTAAAAAAGGAACTTTTGGAGACATTCTGGTAAAATTAATAGAAAATAAATACAGGAGCAGGAAGCAAACTCAGAGTGTGGCACTTACAATACTGAGAGATCAGGACGTTCTGAATTCGAATCCTAGCCACGCCACTTACTTTCTGACCAGCGGAAGTTTCTGAACCTCTCTGCCTCAGTGTCCTAAGGAACCACACCACCTATCCAAAAAGCTGGTGGAAAAGTTTGGTGATCATGAGTAAGTATCCAAAGCCCAAAGGGACGCAGTAACGTTTGGTTTTCGTCTTCACGTAGCCTGCAGAAGGGCTTCACAAGTTCTAGAGGAGCAGCATCAAACCAACCCTCTTGACAGAATTCTGGGGAGGGAGTGCAGGCTGCCCTTTAGTTTAGAGAAGCAGGTGTGCAGCCGGGTAAGCTCCAGCACCCACGTGGGCGAGGTGGGCAGAGGAAGCAAGGCGGGGCCAGAATGGGGACCCAGGCAGTCGGGTGCGAGCCCTTTACTCAGCTCTGGCCCGCTGTTGTTGTGTAGGAAGGTGGATCATGGTGCCTGATGTCTGACATTTCAAGACACAGCGGAAATTAAACATTGTATGGGACAAAATATGTACATGGGCAAGATTCAGCCCATGAGCCACTAGTTTACAATCTACTAAAAATAGAGGGGTCAGTGTCTTGACCTGGATCGTTCCACGTGACAGTGCACATGAAGGGGGTTAGACTGTACTTAAATCCTGAAAGCATGGTCCCTTTGCACGAGGGCAGATTTCACTATGGACTCTGATATAGCACTTTGCCAGCACTGGATGCCACAGGAGCCAGGGAAACGGTGGAGCTCTGTATGCATAGCGAGGCAGGTGGCTGGCTGCTACTCAGTTTTCAAAAATTGTTGTGGTCCGGCGAGATAGCTCAGTGGACTAAGCACCTGTTTTGGCAAGTGTAGGGACCAGGGTTCGATCCTGGTCCTGCAAGCTGGGTCAGCCCCACCCCCTGGGTGTGCTGAGCCAGCAACCAAGTCCAGGCGTGGTGGCACATGCCTGTAATCCCAGCGCTGGCGAGTCTGAAAACAGGAGGATTGCTATGAGTCCAAGCTGTGTAATGAGACCCTGTACCAAATAAATAAAATTTAAAAAAAATTGTTATTGGGTATCATCTTAAATTGGTCATTTAAAAAAAAAATTTATGTATTTGGTACAGGATCTCACCATGCAGCTTAGACTCATGGTGATCCTCCTGTCTGAGCCTCCCCAGTTCTGGGATTACAGGCGTGCGCTACCACACCTAGTCTGGGCCTCTGGCTTGGCATGCCCAGGGCAGGGTCCACGGCATGTGGTACCAGGGATAGAATCTGGGTCCTTACGCTTGCCAGGCAGGCGCTTAGACAGCTGAGCTATCTCTGCAGCCCCTGAACTGGTCGTTTTTGCAGCTGCAGCTTAGTCCTAGACTGCCGGCGTGCCCTCTTCTGCTGAGTGAGCTGCGGCTCACCTCACGCTCTCTGCTGTAGTATCCACGCGCACGTCCAGTCGGGCCTTCTGCGGCGATGGAAACACTCTCTATCCTGTCCAGTGCAGCTGCTCAATAGCTTAGCTATGGCTACTGCCAGAGAGGGACTGAGTTTTAAATTTTATTTAATTTTAATTAATGTAATCCAACAAAATTTAAATAGCCCCATGGCTCTGGCTACCATTAGGAAGCCCAGGGCTGCAGCATCTCTAATTTATACATTTTTTTATCTTTTGCTTATAAATTGGTCTACAATATAATTTTATTCTTAAGTAGAGTTCAACTAATGCGAAGTGCTCACATATGAATGCGTCGTCCTCGCTCCCCCGGCTCGAGCAAAGCCAGGTCCCCAGCGTTCTGCTTGTAGAGCGACACGCAGGCGGCCCGCACGCCTGTGAACCTGCGCTGTCCAGATGGTGCCCACACACTATCAGTGCTGCTGGGTTGAAGTCACTGCCTTGTAAGATTCTGTTCATACAATGAATACGCACCCAGTCACAGGCCACCCACACTGGTGCTGGGTTACCACTGCCAAATGGAAGCCGCCTGAACAGACCTTGACGCTACGGCGCTGGATTAAACTTTGATGGATTAGTTCAGGGGATGTGCGCACCTGTGCCATAACGTAACTACACGCAGTCGTGTGTCACTGCCATCTCTATCAACTGCTTAGTCACATACTGAAGATTACGATTCCACTATTAAATTATTGGAGCATTTTCTTCTTACTAGTGGAATGGGTGGGTGAGGTGAGAGGACATGGTTAAATGACCACACTAAGGGACCAGGACACTGCCTTAGGCACCAACAACTGAAGCAAACCATTTCTTCATCTGTAAAAAAAAAAAAAAAAAAAAAAAAAAAAAAAAAAAACACGTAAGTGTGCTCCAGGTCTGTTGTGAGTGGAGGGAAAGAGCCCTTACCTGGGGCGACGGTGTTCCCAGAGTTCTCCGTCCTGCCTTCCCGGTAGACGTCCCTGTGAGTGGGGATCCGATGCGTGGTCTTTTTGTAGGAAAAGCCTCTTACCATGTGGACACCTTTCACTGGTTCCTGTAACAGCACCATGGCCAATGACTACCAAGCGAAGCCACGGGGCCTCAAAGGAGGGTCGCTATGGAGACAGCAGGGAAGGGCCTTGTGGAAGATTGGAGACCGCGAGCCCAGGGTGCCCCGTGCACCACACAAAGCAGAAGGTGTGGGAAGGAAAAGCGAGATGGGATGAGGAAGGGAGATGGCGCAGCAAGCAGGACCGGGAGGCACAAGACTGGGAGCAATCTTTTCAGAAAAACTAAAATTAAGGGGGGAAATATCTCTTGGACAGAGTACAAAAATTTGAGGACACCACTGTGCCTGAACCGCCCACCCCCCTGAAGGCCAGAGAGGACAATCACACTTTACCTGGGACCTGGCAGCAAGACGTGTGGCTGTCACCTCCTGACCTATGCTGTTCCATTTGTCAGCAGGGACAGGAACCCAGGGAGAAGCCCGAGCTATAAGAAGAGAAAGGAACAATCAGTATTCTGGACGGTGACCCTTCATCCATGTTTTTCTCCTTCTAAGGAATGGCATGCATCAAAGCCAGCAGACACACCCTGATCATCCGCCAATGAATTCAGAGCAAGGCCCCAAATTCTACTACCCTAAAGTCAGGCTTACAAACCCAGGTGGTTTTGGGAACCTTGGGCAACTGGAGAGCACGCGCCCCACTGAAAAGGCTCGGCCAAAGCTCCACGGCCGCTTCCCCAGGAGACCGGGGCACCGCTAGAGGCAGAGCTTCTAATTTTGTCCAAGAGACACCAGAATGCTACACTTCCATGAAATCCCAAATCTTAAAGCCTGAAAACTAAAAGCAAAACAAAATGTCAAAACAAAAGCTATCTGCAAGTGAACCAAAACAAGCTGGCCTGGTGTGCAAACTAAGTTTGCACACTTCAGTGCAAGGTCGGGCCCTGGGAATGGCGGGCGCCAGGAAGAACTCGGCAAACACTGCTGCACAGGAGAGGGCAGACGTGGCGCGCACCCTGTTGGAGTGGGAAGGAGATGCAAAGTCTTTTATAAAGTGTATTTGTGGTCTTTTTCCCTGAAACTCACTACCCGGGGAGAGCTTTACGAATGAGCACCACAGACAGCAAGGCAGGGAGGCAGGGAAGTAAACATGATTGTGATACAATAAGGCGCCTGTTGTCCCAGCACTCGGAGGCTGAGGCAGGAGGGCTGCCGTGAACTTGAGACCAGTCTGGGCTGCAAAGCGAGCTCAAGGCCAGCCTGAACTGCACAGGGAGATGCTGCCTCAAAAAAGACAAAAATAGAAAAGATGCCTGTGGATATGTAGCACCCCCAAGATGAACATAATTATTGTATATTCCATACTATACTAATGAAAAAGAAATTACTAAGTAGACCCTTATGTCACCAAGAACTCAAAAGTTGCTCCGCTATTTTCATTTATTTTTTGCTGGCTCAAGTCCACCCCGCGGGCAGGGCTGGCTCAGCATGTGGGGTGGGGATTGAACTGCAGTCCCCTGTGCCTGCCTAAACTTGTGTAAGCAGGTGTTTTAGACCACTAAGCTATCTCACTGGCCCCTCTTTTTTTAAAAAAATGTATTTGGTACAGGGTCTCACTACACAGACTGGACACTCGGTGATCCTCCTGTCTTCGGTCTCCCCAGCCCTGGGGTTACAGGCCCACACCACCCACCACACATGCCTGGTCTCAGTGCACCCAGGGGTGGGGCCTGGGTGTATGTGGTGCCAGAGATCGAACCCCAATCCCTGTGCCTGCCTAAGCAGGCGCTTAGTCCGCTGAGCTATCTTGTGGGCCCTTGCTCCATTAATTTTGTCAGAAGTCAAACATCGCTCTGGAAACGTTCCCTGAAACACACAGCTGAGGTCACAGCTCTCCCTTTAGAATGATTTTACCATTCGGAGCTACCTTGTATCTCATTTGCTATCCTCCATGCTCCGGTCAATATTCGAACAGGAAAAACCTTTTCACTTTAAGAATTCCTTACCACTTTGAGATGGTAAAAGCCAAAAATACCTCCAAGAGGTATCTGCTGGACTAAACCTATTTCTTGGTCACTGGAGCCACGTGACCCACAACCTATTTCTTGGTCCCTGGAGCCACGTCATACATGTGATCAAGGGCGCTTTGATGCTCATGAGTAAACTCTGGAAAACCGAGGCTACGAAAGTGGAGCATGGGATAGCGAATCATCTCTTGGTGAATGACTATAAATCCAGCAGAGATGAAGTTTAAAGATAATTCTGTCATTATGGGAGAGAGCAAGGGAAAGTCTGAGGAGTGGAGTAACATGGCCAAAGTTACACAGATGAAAATGGAACAGGCAGGGTTTGAGCCCAGGTCTGCGCGCCTCTAGGACCCAAGCCCTCAGCCTCTTTGCATTCATGCCCTTTTTCCTATTTTTTGCCCATGATCAGATAGAAAGGGCAGAGGAAAGATACAGTCTGTTAACAGCAGGCCCTGGGTCTTTCAGGAGACGAGAGATAACCCATGTGGAGAGGGCGCTGAGATCTACCTCCTTGTGCTCAACCGGACCAGCTCGTGTACAGGGCAGATACGAGCACCCTGCGAAGCCTTCCTGTTTATCCTCCGAGTCTGCATGGCGACGCCTTAACTTCTGCGGCGCTTTCCAGACACGAGCATCCTGGGGCTCTTTCCCAACAGCCCAAATCGTTTGTAGTCAGCTAAGTGCACACAGGCCAGGGCAGGCCTGAAAACACAGGCTCGGAGATGGAAACTTAAAATCACCCTGAAAGACCGCAGGGTGGCTGGAGCCATCTGGCTTGCCCACGGCCGCCTTAAATCTCTTCCTACTTAGGTCGCACATGTCCCCAACTTTAAAGTTAGCGACGCTTGTCTTTCCACCTTAACTTACTTTCACACACGTATCCAGGGGACTCTATGCCAAGCAAGTGCCTGCGTGACAACCTAAATCGGCCACGGGCTCTGCATGGCGCACGCGCTCAGTGCTTACCATTCCTGGGTAAGAGCCGATGCTCTCTCTTCTGACTCAGTGGGTCCTGGTGTCCTGCGTGGAGGCTTCCAGCTTCCTTCCGAGACACCAGCCGGGGCTGGGTCTCCGCCTGCTCGCGCTGAAAGTCTGCTACCTCCCACACTGTTCCGAGTGGGGCTCGCTTCTCTGAGTGTACAGGACTGCTCACCTGGGAAACAAAGTCGATACCATAGTGGAAACGGGGAGGGACAGAGATCTAAGTCAGGGTCCATTTCTCCCAAGGATAATACTCAAGAGGAACAGAAGCTGTGACAGGATTGAGCATTTCTGTCCGATGAAACTGCACAAAGGTGTTAGGCTCTCAGTACCACGTAGGAGTTCTGGTAGAAAGAAACAAGAGGGCGCTTTCTATTGCTTATGTATAGGGAGCAACTCTATCAGCAGCAAAGTACAGAGCTTCCTCTTTACTACAAGAGCCGTTATGTGAGTTCTTATGTCATTTTTAGGTTCACAGAGAAGTTCTGAGAGTGTGAACATATTCACCAGCAGGCTGGAAAGCTACAGAATTATTCCCCACATTACTCTATTACTGAGCATCCTTACAAGCCTGCAGGAGGAAACTGCAAACCTGGCAAAGCCGGCAGGACTTCAGGAGGTTAACGAGAGGCCAGTGAGACATAAAGCTCTAGCAGTTAGATGGGAAAAGAGGGACAAGACAATGGCGCTGATAGGACTTTAAAAAACACGGAGTGGAATGTTAAAGGATTAGAGAAGCTCTGGGGTAACCGATGAAGCTTTTGTTCTGTTTCTGTAAAAATAGCCCTTTTAGGATCAAGCTGCAAAAGTCGAACCGGTGGAACATAACCATATCTCTCTATCATTTTGCGGCAAATATCATGCCAAAGAGTAAAACAAATATTTAGCATTAATGGTTAGTTTCATTTGCAAGAGAGTATTTCAGTCACAAGTTTTTCCCTTTAAAATGAAGTGCTGATCCCCTCTTAAGTGGGCCCACCTGAGGGGTCTTTCCTGCGTGCCATTTATCTTTCCATAGTAACTGCTTCTTTCTATAAAACATCTTTGCTCACCTGTCTTTCCCACCATTTATTTGTTTATTCATTCATTTATTTTTGAGACAGGGTTTCACTATGCAGTTTGGGCTGGTCTTGGGCTCACTTTTGTAGCCCCCAGGCAGGTTTCGAACTTGCAGATATCCTCCTGGCTCACCCCCCACCCCGCTGAGATCAAAGGCGTGTGAGACCACGCCCAGTTCCGGGGCCAAATGGTGTGCACCCGGCGTGTGGGGCTGGGGAACAAACTCGGGTCCTTGTGCTTGCCAGGTAGGTGCTTATGCCTCTGAGCTATCTCTCAGCGCCCCCACCCCCTTTTTAAAATACAAAAACTTGAGAAAACCCTTCCTCACCTGCTGTCTCAGTCTCCCCGTCTCTTTCTCCAGATGGACCACCAGGGCCACCGCCTCCTCTCCACTTTCTGGACACTGCTTCTGGGCCCAAGCCTGAATCTTCTTGGGTAAAATGGTAAGAAACTGCTCGATCACCAGCAGCTCAAGCATCTGTTCTTTGGAGCGCGTTTCAGGCTTCAGCCACCGGCAGCAAAGTTCCCAGAGTTTACTGAACGCTTCCTGGGGCCCAGTCACATCCTCGTAGCAGAGCTGCCTGAAGCATTTGCGAAAGGCCTCACACTCCGTGCTGTCCGGTCCTTCCACAAAGGGCTCCGAGGCCCACTCGGGGTCCTTTTCCACCTTCATTAGTACACACCCCTCCACCTCCAGGGGCACGCTGATCTGGGGGTCCAGGGCTGCAGCCATGCTGCAAGCGGGGTGGTCGTGGTGGTGCAAATCTCAAAGCGGGGCTCTGAGAAGCCTCTAAGAGCCGAATGTTTTTGGAAACGTGCAAAGCAGTGAGGTTAAAGGAAAAAAAAAAAAAAAAAAATCCCAAACTGCAACTCGGCAGTTTCAGCAGCAATGGCGCTTCAGGCTGATGAATCAACTCTACCCTAGGCCCTCGCAAAGCTGCATGAGTACCCACGTCCCCAAACCTGGCCTCTCCTCCAAACAAGACGCAGCCCCGCAAAGTGCCTTCCCGGGGTGCATCCCTTTTAGCGCAAGGTCGGATCGGAGCGCGAGGCTCCGGGACCCGCGGAGGATGGGCGGGACTGCCGCGGCCCGAAGGGGGTGTGTCGGC